AAAAATTCCACTATCTATTTTTACTGCATTTTTTTTTCCTAGCTGAACAGGACACACTACAGAGAAGACTATACACTGGATTTATGCAGTAGCTATAGAGCATTCTATTTTTACATCATACTTACAGATTTTAACATTTTGGTTGTTTTTATAACTAGCAGCATACACTAAGTCTGTTTTTTTAATGAACTTAAAATTTCACTTAGTACCAATACACTAGGAAATAATAATCTAGGAATGTCTAGATTATTCTTAATTTAATTATTTATGAAATTGTTTATGTCATCCATGGGTTTTAGCCATTATTAAGCTAATTCACTTGCTTTCTTAATCTTTCATGTTCCCTTCAAAATTGTAGTAACCTGATCAATAAAACATCATCTGAAAATGAGACTGTCTCATTGCTAAATTCTTTTTCATGATTGACAAGAGATCTTTGGCTAACATTACGTATACAAAGCTTCAGAACATGGCTATTAGCTTTAGTATTCTTGACCTACATTATACCTCAAATAAGCTAAATTTTCTGCCTCTTGGGTAAGTGCTTCTCTGCAATAGTGAGTATTTTAAAATAATAAAATGGATTCCATCTCTGAATTGTTGTAATCCCAGATAAAGCCTATCCTGCTATATTCCCTTAAATTTTATTTCTAGTTTATACAAATCTGTTTTAAGTTCTGTTGAACAGATGCAAGTATAACAGAAACTGATATGGGGAGGCACTTCAATGTGATAATCTGCAGATATGATCTTGATTTAAATGGGACAACATCAGAACATATGGAGTAAATTTAATTGTTCTACCTTGATTGAACACAATCAGGATGGAGACACTTCTGTTTTTCTTTTGTATTTGCTTCCCAGGAGGTTAGGAATGCAGCTTCTGTCACTATGGGGTTCTACTTGAAAGAAGGTAAAAACATTGTTCCCTAAGGAAAAAGCAAAAGCTGGTGTATCATACACTTGCCTGCACTGTTGCAAACAAGTGTATAGCACAAACTACAACAAATGAAACATTCCATCATTTTAATGAATTGAAATAGATTGTGCACATATGGATGAAAGATAAAACCTGTAATATTCCACCAAGATGTGAAAATACAGTACCACTTGGAAGAATAAAAACTTTGAAGATACATCGTTCTACCTCCAGTCCTTACACCCAGTTTCTTTGTTTACCCAGATTTCACCCTATTTCTGTGACAGATAGGCCCCTTTTTCTTCTTGCCTCCACCATTTCATCCCACTCATTTCTAGGCCCAGTGTTCTCACCCTGCCACACTGCCTCCTGTTACACATCTTCTCCATATATGGTGCCCATGGATTTCTGTTCCTCAGTTCCCTGTTCCGTTCTGCACCTCGTTCTTTCTGGTGAGTCGATCCAAGCTTCCTCTTATCCTAGTTCCCAGAGGAAACACTCACTCCTTCTCTTGTTTGCCTTTGAGCCGCATCTTCATTTTCCTCCCTTCCTGCATGTATGGCTCTTGCTTTCAAATCAGACAATTCTCCTTTTTTAGTTGCTTGGTACTAGCAAAGGGTGAAGGATGGTCACCCCAAAGTCCAATCCTTGTTTCAAACATGGAAAGAAGTCTACACACACTGAAAGGCAAAGTGACCTGTATTATTAACAATAGCAATGTTTAATATTTTTATAATATGTACAAAGGGTTTATTTCCAAGGTTGTTCAACCACCCGTTATGAAGACACTCTATGGAGAAGATACAGTTTATATATGAACTGTCTGTTATCACAGACAGCATACTCGCATTCAAGGCTGGGTTGCACGGGGCTTTGAGCAACCTGGTTTAGTGGAAGGTGTCTGTGCCTGCAGCAGGGTGGTTGGAACTACAGGATCTTCAAGGTTCCTTACAACCCAAACTGTTCTACGATCCTATGATATTTGATCTAAAATAACTAAAAAAATGCACCCAACACCACTGTGTAGAATTTGGCATCTTTATAATTCATTGTATTCACACAAAAACAAAAAGCAGAAGGAAATAAAACTCTCTTGCTTCAATCCTAGCAATAACTCAGCCAGCAAACTTTACTGCAAATGTTTGTGTATACAGCTCCTGTGAAAACTGCTTAGATGTCCACTATGCACAAGAAAAAGGAAATAAGCCGTATGTCAATAGATCAGAGAGTACACCGGAACAGTGAATAAAGTTCACACTACAAATGAAAATGAAGTAGCAAAATTTATGCTAAGTGATATCCACTGGTGTTTAATACAAATTTTGGGGTTGTTATAAATTTTTAGTCATTATTAAACAGCAGAATCAGGACATTAGCTGAGCAGTTTCCAAGACAACAAACTTTTCCCTAGTGTTGCTAGAGTTTCTGCTGTCTCCTCATCAGACCTGCATTTTGGTTGTCTTTCAGAGTTTGTGGATTTGTAGATATGGCACAAGAACTTGCCTTGGTTTTGCTGGGAAAAAACCCAATCTTCTTTTATATGAGCTAATTGTTATTGACTAGATACTGCAAAATTAGTGTACAAAAAGGTTGGTTGCTTTCTTTATAGCTGTCTTATACTTGCTTCAAAACTAAGAAAGGTCTAGACCAATAAATACCCTTCTCAAGTGGCCATGTATATAAATGTAATACAATACCAGTGGAGATGGGCAAAAAGTACACACTATTGAGAAAGCAAGCCAAAGCCAGTGAAGCCAAAGCTCAATTCTAATAAGATTACCTTTCTCTAATTGCCATTAGGAAGTCATGCTGAACAAAAAAAAAAAATTAGAGAAAATTTGCAACTATAAATTAAAATGTTTTTATAGAATGAGTACTTCTATAAGTTAATTTTAGGTACGTATCTGAGTAAAGAAATAACTTTAGATGTCAAAAGTGAAACTTAAAGCCTTTTTCTAGACTGGGCACATTTGGTTGCAATAAACTAATGTCTTTTCTCCTCCAGAAATTAATTAACAATAAGACATTTTAAACTGCACTTCCTATATAGTTTTCTGCATCTCTTTTCTTTTTTTTGACAATACTGTAATAGTAGTTTTCCCAACTAATACAGATAATTTGAAAATATTTTAAAAATACGTCCTTGATTAAGCTTTTTGAAAACTGAAATGTCATGAAACCAAAATACTGAAAGTCTTACTCAGATTCAGAAGTTCTTATTGGGAATGATGTCTTTTTCCATTTCCACTCCCCTTTTATGAATCTTACGACTGTTCAGAGAGCGGATATTCTACATTTATAAATAGCAGTTGATCTTATTACTTCTAAAGCAGGCACCATTATTCTCAAAGAGACAGCCAATACTTATTTTGCAAACTGTAGAAGAGAAACAATTTCGCCTAAGGCCATTCAAAATTCAGATTTTGGTTTCTTCTGATGTCACATTTTTGTTAAACTAACAACATAGCATATTAAAGCCTTCCCAGAATCAACATATCCTTGTGAGTGCCAAAGCAAACATTATATTAGCCCTTACACATGGAAAATCTATGTCACATACATGAGTAAGACTGCATGATGCTCAGGAGCTTATCACCATCACCGGCCGCGGAAAATTCTACAAGTGAAAACTATTTGTATTATACTAAGAGCTCTGTATATTCAGAAATCACAATTATTAAACAGGGTAGCAACATAATTAAAATATAAACAGATATTTATTTGTATTTCCCATGAAGACTACTATAGTCTTTTAAGACTTAAGGCTTAAGCTGTGTTTTAACCTTTGATTTACACCACGAGAGTTTTATTGCTGGTTACAACAATGCCATTGCTAACCAAAGCTTCCTGAGTCTCTTAATTCATCAGTGTCTTATAGCAGTTTAGAATATACCAAAGATGCAGGATCAGATCCTACCTTCCAACTCCCTTTATTGTACCTTATTCTTGAAACAGATCTGGGTTTATGGAAATAAAGCAGGTCTCTCATCCTGTTTAAGATGATGAAGCTACTTGATATCCATGTTTAGATAATTGGTTTTTTTCTACAAGATAATCAGTTCTACTTAGCTTAGCAGCTAACAACTTGCAAAAAAAAATATCAATGGTTGTCAGCTCTGACATGTTTACCCTTCAGACTAAAACAAAAGCAAGAAGAAACTTTGAGAGTGTCACTGTATTAATGGCACTCAAAGCTGCATGCTATAGGTTACATGCATTCCATACCCTTTTTGAAAGAAGAGATTTATTTTATTCATTCACCTGTTTCTTGTCCTCTCCTTGTGGCTAAGTGATTTAAAATTACATTTAAGTAGCAGAAGTGGCATCTTTAACTACTAGCTCTACAGCCTCAGTATCATGTTCTGCATTTGAAAACAGTGTTTGCATTTTGGTTTTCTTCTTAAAAGCATTTGAAGTACTACCATAGTCCTGTCCTTTACTGTCTCTCCACCCAGTCAATACAAAATATTTTGTTTTCTTTCTAATATTCAATCCCTAAGAAAGCAACTTCTATCTGTAAACGACAAAAATATCTCAGCTGCCAGGTAGATTACCATTTTAGTGTGATTACATTACCCTATAACAATAACAATAAAATGTACTCTGGACTACTGTTTTTGCTCCTCGCTCTAGCATACCTAACATATCATAAAAATAATGTTTGTATTTATCCAGACAAATATTAACTATTTTTTTCAGCACTGTTTTGGCATTCTGGTAGTTCTTTTCTACATGAAACATGTTCAGTTTACAACCTACGCACTTTGAATATAATATATGTGTCACTAAGGTGTTACAGAAAGCTGAATTTGGCATGTTCCTCATGAGCATGTAGATGAAAAGTGGACATTTCAACAGCACAAGTCAGTCACAGTGGAGGACACCAATCACTGACTAGTATGATACGTGTGCGTGTCACATGCAGTTAGTGTGGAATAATTACTTACATGCAAATCAGAAAGAGATTTTGTCTTCATTATTTATGCACCAAAGCATTTCCCTCGAAAGAGGAAACACAGTTGGAAGAAACACAGTGGTTAAAAAAGACATGACTCAGAAATTAACACAGTGCAGCTTGTAGTAACAGTGAGAAGAGATATTCTGTTTCTCTAAATCTCTGAAAAAATTGTGCTTCAGTCTAAAACTTTTTACATATTGTGAATTTCAACATGAATGAGATATATACTTACTGACTATTCCTATTTCAGAAAGTAAAATAGTGCCTGGTCACAATTATGAAAAGATTAATGAATATCCCTTTATTGCATATAAAGCAGAAGTGAGAAATGGCCTTCCCCCCCACCACCCCAGATCTTTCTCACACATATTTATTTATAAAGAAAAGAAAGTCAGGGGAAAGGTTTTAATTTTCAGTTCAATATATTTATCTTTTTCAGTGGCTAACACAACATTTACTGGAAATATACGAACTCCAATTTGCTTCCATTTCTAGAGTTCATTGCTGTGCTACATTTCTGGAGTACAATTATTTATAAGGGTGCCTTTTGGTTGTTTCTTCAGGATTATGCAGAGACAGCAACGGTTTCTGGAACTTGCTTTGTATCCAAACTCGCTGCATTTTCACTTTTTTCTTCCTGTTTACTTGTAATCGCCGATCAACTAAATTCTGTACTTCAGTTAATCCAGCCAAGTTGAACATGTTCCATACCTCATCTATTTTTTCATAAGAAGAATTATTGTAATTAAAAAAAAAAAAAGGTAATTTGTAGAATGTAGCAATTAACAACCTTCAGTTCAACCAAATGGAACTAAATCTGTTTTGCAATATGAAAGATCAAAGACACTGCCTCTAAGAAGTCTTTTATTAGAAATTCATTCTCACAGCTCTTGATTTACATTGCAGTAAAAATTCTTATGTTGAGGCCCAAACGTGGTTATTACTCATGGCACCCATAGATACTCTTTCTTCAGAGGGTTCAATATGCCAGAGCTGAGTAAACAAATGCCATTTGGTCACTGTTCACCTATTACACCCAGATAAAGCTATTGCACCTGCCAAATGACAATCCAGACTTTTATGCCTTATATATATGTGTGTGTATACATGTATATATATATGTGTGTGTATATATATATATATACGTGCATACACACACATATACATTTCTATTAAATATATGTAATTAGTTCCTTCTTGTCAGTCATCACTGGAAAACGTTAAGCTTCTTTGTCTTAAGGAAGCATGAAACATATTTAAAAACTGAGAAGGCTCTTTAAATTCAAGTGATTTCCTATATATGTCTCAGATCCTTCTTCTCACTTCTAAAATTACTAAGTCTGGGATAAATCCTGATCCATCTCTATTGCTTACAGTCGAGGTTGCAGAGGGTAAAAAGAAAAAGAAAAAGAAAGTATTGTGATGCTCACTTTCACAATTTCACAGTATACCAGTCTAAGCTGTCTGCCAGCTGAACCAAGTGAGTGGACAGGCAATGAGGAATAGTATACATAAGCAGCAACTGAAGTTTAGCTCCTGTATAAAGAGCAACCTCACAGTTCAGATTCACCAACACGGCATAACAAAACATCAAAGCACTGCTACAAACTCTCCTTCCAAGCATGTTTATCTCAATTTTAAGAGAGAAATCATGTACATATTTAAATAACAAAATTTGAGCATACCATTAGACACAGGACACTTAGATAAAGAGAAATTTCCAGTGATGTCTTTAAGCCATCTTGCAAGACCCCAAATGCAACAAGTGTACACATAAAGGAAATTATTTTCTTACAACAGTTAGCTTTGGTCTTTTTAAAAGCAGAGAATTTAAAAAAGCCAATAAAACCTTCTTTAAATTTTTGTTTAAAGATAAGCTTTTATAATTCAATCTTGAGAGAAATTTAACCCTTTCTATGAAACTATAACTTTCCATACCTTTGGTAAAGAAATACACTCTGGTTCCATCTCCTCGTACATAAAAATTTTCTGACAAGCAATGACCTAGGAAATTGGGACAGTAATGCAAAAGGACATGTCACTTTTTTTTTTGCAAAAAGTTAAAATGAACAATGAACTACAAAGCCACTCAGGAATTACCTTTTTTAAAACGAAGTTGAGCTGTATCATATCTTCCATAGTCTCGAAATAACAACATTCCTCCAGGTTTCAGTAGCTTAGCCAACCTATTTACAACCCCTTGCATCCTTAGAAAATAGATGGGATACTGTTGATATTTGCAAACATAAGCAACCAAGTGTGCTGCCACAGACAGAAAAGGCAGCACCACCTAATAATAAGAGACACTTCAAGACGGGTAGTTGTGCCCAGAATTACAAACTTCACCTATGTAAACTTAAGTTTTGTGCACAAAGGAAAAAATGTACATGCATAAAAAGTGAAAGTGCTTTGAGAAATCTCATCCAGCAGAACTAGAAGACATCAATTATATAGCTTGAAGAAAGTTTAATACCTTCCAATTCTGCAACCAAATCTTAGAGGTGCCTTCTAGCAGAACTGAAGTGTGTTAAAAATTTACTACAAGAGTAGCAATTATCAAAAACTAAGCACAACAGCCTGAAGAGAAATCACTAAGTAACAATTTTCTGAATATAAATGTGTTCCTCTCACATAAATTTTCCATCTTTCCCAAGTATGTAAGTTCTGCATCACAGTTCCCTTGGTTTTCTTTTTCATTTCTCACTTTCAAAGTTTCCAGAAAAAATGTATACTGAGCAAGATGAATCTGGATCACATTTTCCTTTATGCAGTCATTTTAATTCTATGAGATGGCAGTAATGACTAACACAGCTCTGGAAAGTGGGTCTCACAATACAGATAATTACACGGAAATTTTTATGTGTGTATACACACATACGCACACAAAAGCATCCATGTCAGCCCTGGGAGAAAAAACACAACCAACAAACCACAAAAAAACTCAAACACATTCTGAAAAGACTAATAGGAAAAGACACACAGAAATACGCAGAATACTGCTTCTACAGGCAAAGTGATTGATTTAATGAATGAAACACTATTTTCCAATATCTTCGTAGCAGCATCATGGCAGTCACAAAGATCTGAAGTCTACTGCTTGAATTGTTTCTGGAATCTGGACCCTGGCTTTGCACAACTTGTGCTCATCTCTGAACAAACAAGAAGGAGCAGTATCATATATGGGAAAGGGTTTCTGTAAAGCTAATCATTAGTAACTTAAGCAGAGAAACAGTTCTCAGACTTAGGCAAATACTGTTCTGTTTGCCAAGCCCATTTTAATGACATTCTTAGTGTAGTAAATGTATTATCACACATACAGCATGTATTTCCCTTCATATAATCCAGTTAAAGGAAGAGTCAAGCAGTTTAACTTATGCCCTCCTATACATTTTTCCCATCAAAAAAATGAGATTTTCACAATCAGCCAACCATAACAGTCATAAAATTTGGTTCATTAGACATAGAGAGGCATTAGCAAAGGCTAACAGTACCCAACATAACACTATACGTGAAAATTAGATCAAATTTTCTTAATCCTAACAAGTTAAAAAATTCTGGATGCATTTTGGTTTAAAAGGCCTGCATGTAAGCATTGTATGTGGCTAAATCAGCAACCTAAGTCTATATCAACATATTGTAAGCTGTTAAGTCATGAATGTTTAGTTTTGATCACTAAAAATGACTTCCTTCTAGAAGACTAGTCTGGTTTTTAATTTGCAGTTTTCTTGAATCCCTCACTTCTAATAGGGTTGTGTTTAGTTACAATATACTCCTTGTATTTTGATGGAGACTAGAGACTCACTAACGAATTAGCCTGACAAGCTTTCCTCTTCAAGCCTGAAAATGGAAAACAGCATTTAAAATACCTTGTTTTACACATATTGTAGCTTACTAAGTAATAAATTAAAGATTCATCATCTTCTTTTGCTATTCTTGAAAACCTCCAGTGAAAAGAGAGTTTTAACCCATTTGCTTTGCCCATTAGTCTTCATTTACCTGTCAGGATGAATAGTAGAGAGCACAAAGACAAGGAGAATGACATCCAGGATCTCATCTGGAAAAGGATAGGGTAAAGCGTCATCACACACATCATGAACAAAGGCAGAACACCAGGCTGAATTGTAGGACGAATGTGACTGTCAGAAAAAAGATGAAAAGGGGCACAGAGAGAACAGTAGTAGTTAATACGTTTACTGTGACTCAAGAAACTTTTTTTCTTCAATTATTCTGCATTGTAAAACATCTCATATAAAAGCCTATTCTGTCTGGTATCTTACTCAAGCTGAGAAGCAAGCTCACTGATGGTATTCATTCCTCTCTGCATACAGTAAGACTTTGTTCTTTGGAATATTGAAAACTTCAGTTAAAAGTTGTCAAAGCCATCACATTCTTTTTCATGAAGATGGCTTCCTGGCAGCCTCCTGAATTACGGGCTTATAAGGTACTCTAAAGCGAGCATATGAATTACCTTTACCAGCTCCACTGCTCCTGAAGCAAAATCACAACAGTATAGAAAGGTTCCAGGTGTATTGCTAAGAAAACAAAAGCAACATCAGTTAAAAAATTATTATTGTAAAAGATGAAAGTCTACATCAGTGTTCATGGAACTACAGAGTGCCCTTTGGGGTTCTCCACAGGTTTGATCAAGCATGCCTTATTGATGTCTAGCACGTGGAAAGCCACATAGGTTGTAATGAACCAACAGGGCAGACAAATTTGTAAGAATACCAACAGGCAGTTAGTATAAAAAGAATTAGAGCCTTGTCAGGGAGGAAGCAAAAAGGAAAAGAAAGAAGGTCACAGAGGGCTGTCAGGACTGATGACAATGTCCTGGTGTTGTAACGCATAAATGCACGTTAATAGGTCACGTTTTCTTACAGAAGCACTGCATTAAGTCTCTATCATGCAGTTTAATTAGCTGTATGATTTGGGCAGGGGTAGGGTGTTGCAAAAATCATCCAGTTCTGTAGATGTTTGGGTTTCCATGTGTCACCTTGCTGTGCTTTTGATTAGATTAAGTAGTATTGGTTTTTTCCCTCCATTATCCCTTTTGTTTTGTAAGCCAGGATAAATAAGAATTTCCTGTAGCACTCTTTTCTCTTTCCTTCCCATCCAAGACTAAGCCAGTTGCAAATTTCCTTGTACCATTTATCATATAATAGTAATTCTAGGAAGAGGTTTTTTTAACCTCTGAAAAATTCATTTAATATAAACTGAGCAAGCCACTCAAAACCCACTGAGGGATGACCTCATGATCAACTCATGATCAATTAATTTCTTTTAAAAACATATTTGAGATTTTGGACGGATGGCTTCTTTAGAAGGGAATCAATAAACTCTGTCAGTGCCTATAAGATCTCACAGTATACACAGTTGAGTTAGTGACTTCTCTGAGGGCTCAACAGGAGAACAATTCTGGAACAAAATATGCTCTGTGCTCACTGCCAAGCAAAACTTTTATCAGCTCTGTACCCATCATGAGAATTGATGAATTTAGATATTTATTAG